TGTTCAGGCAGCTGAATGTTGAGTTACCATGTGACCTGGCCATTCCACTCTGAGGCATATACCTCCTAACTGCATTGTAATAGAGTAAAAAACACCCAAATTCCTGTCAACCGATGAATGGATAGAAGGACGGACGTCCATTGTGTGGGCCCCTTGAGCTGCATGCAGCAGACTGTTGTATTAGTACAGCTTCGTGCTGTCGTATGGGTGAACGAGAAACATTCACAGTAAAAGGAAGGCCCGTTGTTGCATGATTCTATTTTGTGACTTGTCCAGTAGAGGCAGATCCTTAGACACAGAAAGTGTCTGAGAACCACTGAATTCCAGATGTTTAAAGAGTAAGTTTGGGTCCCAGAAGTCCTATCTGTTTAAAATTTTTTATTTAAAAACGTTAGTTATGGAAAAAGTAAGAAAACAACAGGGTCACTACCAGCCTCCTCTCAGCTCTTGGGATGTATCTGTCCCCCCTTCCTTCTGTGCTTGCATTTGAGTTGACCAATGTGTCTTTTCCCACAGTGCTTTAGTGGCCTCTCCGTAGGGTTTTTGAAGAAACTATATTTAGGCAACCATATCACACTTGGTTCATATTCACCTCAGGTCTGTAAGTTTGAGAAGCTGTAGGTGTCACTGTTCCCTAGAGATTGTCATGTTTATCCTGTGAACACCTCTTCACTGGAATACCTAATAGGAAGAAGAAATGATGGCAAGACCATGGAGTAGGCAAATTTCTATCCGTGCTGGTGGGAGTGTAAGCTGACTTAGCCATCACGGAAACTAGCATTGTCTGGTAATGCCAGACACAACCTCCACCCCCCCACTAGGTCAAAGCCAGCTTTGAGACTGACACAGAGAGTAGCAGGCTGGTGTGTCCCAGAAACCTTGTTCCGCAATGTTGGCAGCATGACTGACTCAAATTGCCCAAATGGGAAGCAAGGCCAGAGCTTGTCAGTAATAGGATGGACAGATACCCTATTAGGATCCTAGTAGAATGCCGATTCCCTGATGGGACACCAGAGTCAGAAGGGGCCAGTGAGCACCAATTCAGCTAGAAAAGCTGGGTGAACTATAATATTCATTCCCACACAGACACTGGTACATATGCTGCGTGTGTCCCTTATAGATTGGGAGTAGACAAGGCAAATCCATGCTAACAAAAGCCCCAGTAGTGGGTGCCCCTTAGAGGTGGGTTACGATCTTCACACGGCTGCTGGTTGTAAGGGAGAATCCCTCATGGTCTTTCCTCAGGACTGTGTACTCTTAGATGCATTGTACTTCTGTAAACAATTTTATATAAACATTAAGAAAATTGTTTTTAGGACTGATGAGCATAGGGGTCAAGAATGGGCTTGTTTAACCCTCAGAAACAGCTGACCTGAACAAAGGGGAGCTCTTGAACCCCAGACTGATGGCTGGGAACCCAGCATGGGACTGATCCAGACCCCTTGAATGTGGGTGTCAGTGAAGAGGCCTACGTAATCTAAGGAGCCTTGGGTAGTAGATCTGTATTTATCCCTAGCATACAAATGGACTTTGGGTGCCCATCCCACATTGAGGGATGCTCTCTCAGCCTGGACTCTTGGGGAGGGCCTAGGCCCTGCCCTGAATGAAATGACAGTCTATGGATACTCCCAGTGGAGGGCCTCACCCTCCCTGGGGATCAGAGTGGGGGTTGGGGGAGGGGAGAAAGGAGGATTTGGTGGGAGGGTGTGGAAGGAGGGGAGGGAGAGGGAGAGGGACCTGGAATTGACATGTGAAGCAACCTTGTTTCTAATTTAAATTAAAAAAAAAAGAAATGCCACACTTTAACCTTGACCTAATATGTAATCTTTAGTTTCACATGTTCTATAGAGATTTCGAATTTGACATAAATTAAAACTTTCTTCTTGGTAAAAAAAAAATTGCTTTCATGCCAGGCAGTGGTGGCACATACCTTTAATCCCAGCACTCAGGAGGCAGGGGTAGGTGGATTTCTGTGAGTTCAAGGCCAGCCTGGTCTACAGTTCCAGGACAGCCAGGGCTACTTACAACAAGAAAAAAAATGCTTTTATTAGTTAAGTACTTCAGAAATGAATAAAGTACAATTATTTTTAACATATCTTTATCTCTATAATCTTATATTTCTATTTATTTTACAGTGTGTGTAGAGGCTGTAAAATGTACCTTAGAGTGTATATTTAATTTACAAACATATTTAGATATGTTATAAGTGCCTTAAAAAATACAAAGTCGCCACAGTGGATGATGAAAAAGTTAGGTGAGCTGAGGTTACAGTCTTAGGGGTAGGGAGAAAGGGGCACTTTGGAGCAGCCCTGGGGGAGGGTAGAAGTAAACAAGAATAGGCCAAGCCTGCAGGCACTGTTTGTGTGGCATGACTAGTGGGCTGCCTTGTCACCCTGCACTCCCAGGCCTGCCCCTGCCCCCGCCCCTGCAGACAGCCTCACCCTTACTCTGGAGTGCCTTCCTTGCTGCGTTGAGCCTTTGGACTCTGATCTGGTTGTGACCCACCTGATGCATTTTTCCAGTGTTTTTCTTTGAGGTCAGTTCCCCATGCAAACCCTGCATCCTAGGTGAGGAGGGAAAAGAGTAGCTGCCATCGAGGAGCAATACCTGCGATTTTAGAGCAGGCTTTGGCATCTGACATGCTAATGGTAATATCAGATATCGATCCATGGGTAATGTGTTCAGCATTTCAAAGGACAGGGTGAAGCCAGACCTCACAGCATTGAGTCGTATGGGCTTGGAAAAGCAATTCATAAGCCTGTGGCGCATCAGCTTTTCACGGCAGATTGGATGGGTGGCATGAGCCCACTGGTCAGGGGTCACAAAGCCTGACTGGTGTCCTTCCCTTCCCTTGAGCAGGTGATCCCTGGTGCAGCAGAACCAGCAGGACTGTAGTCAGCAAGGCCACCTCCCAAATGGGCCTGGTAGGCTGAGGGAGGGAACGTCAGGCCTCCCTGGTGAGCATGTGCACAGTGGGGTCTGCTAAGCATGAGGATTCTACAAAAGGCCAGTTTGTGGTGATATTTTGCTTACGATCTAACAAATAAAACTTGCCTAAATATCAAGAGTACAAGGCTAGCCACACTAGTTAGCCATAGAGGCCAGGCAGTGGTGGCACACACCTTTAACCCCAGCCCTTGGAAGACAGAGGCAGACAGATCTCTATTAGTTCAAGGCCACACTAAGCTACATGAAACTGATCCAGTCTAAAGAGAAACAGCTCACACAAAGGTGATCTCGAGACTTGGGATCCCCCACCTTTAATCCCAGCACTAGAGAGGAATATAAGATGGAAGGAGACAGGAGCTCAGGCAGTCTGAGGAGGAGTGCAGTCTGGAGATGCGGTCTGAGGACAGGATCGCTGTTTTGGTCTGAGCATTGGTAGAGGTGAGAACTGTCCAGTGGCTGGCTGCTTTGCTTTTCTGATCTTCAGCTTTAACCCAAGTGTCTGCCTCTGGGCTTTTGTCAATAATACCAACTAGAACTTGGTCCCCAGGATGATACTGTTGGGAGGTGGTAGTGGGCCCCTGAGAGGTGGGGGCATAGCGGGAGGTCCTTAGGTCAGTGTGGTACTGCCCGAGACGGAGAATATGGGACCTGAGGTTTTGCCTTGTCTCTGCCTGTGCTTCCTGGCTCATGAGGAGAGCAGTTTGCCCTGATTGAACGGTCGCTTGGAGACATTCTACCCTCACTGGATGGGGACATGCAGAACTCTGAGCCAAATATTTTCTTTTTGTAAATCTATCACCGTAGGTGTTGTCTTATGGTGACAGAGTGCCCCCTCATTCCCATATCAAGCTGTGGGATCTCCTCTAGTCCTCAGGTTGGGGTGTCCCACTGGTCTCTGTTCTCTCCTGGGGCTTACTGTGGCCGCTCCAACAGCTGTCACTCTGTCCTGTGGCTCTTTTTACCCTTTCTTCTCTCCAGGCCTGTGTGTACTCCCCATAGGTGGTTCTCACTGTCTAGATCAGCTACTTTCTTCACCTTGAATTGTCTCTGCTGTGGGCTCTTGGCCGGAGAGGGCCAGCTCAGGTCACTGTAGGAGCTGCAGGTGGCTCTACAGTGATGGGTGAGATGCAGTTGAGGATGGGTAGATGTGACTGTTGTCTTCTCGGGACTGTCTTGTGCTGGCCATCCCCTCCACGCCCTCCCACCGATGGTCACACTTACGCTGGAGGTTCTGCATCCTAGTTCATGGACACCCTTTGCACACATGGAACCCTCCCGTGGCCCTGGCTGCACCTGCACCGTCCCTGCTTTGTATTTTTGCCCTTCAGTCTACTCTGCCTTACCCCCTGGTCTAGACCCTAGCTCCTTGAAGGCAGGGCTGTGTCTTGCTCAGCGTCTCTCTCACACAGTAGCTGTGGACTCCCAGCTCCCACCCCTTTATGGTCATGGCCTTGAGGGAAGGAAACAGTGGGAGAGGTAGAGTATTTTCCTGAAGAAGTGTCAAGGTTCTATTTAGTTAGGAACAGCCACCAAGTGTTAAAGACTGTACCTGGACAGCGTTTTCCAGGTTCTTGTGGCAGCTTCATCCCCTTGAGCCCTGCTGCTGAGGAGCAGAAAGTGAAGCTATGTGGCCAGCTACGCTGTGGAGAATTGATGCGGTTCCCTAAAACGGACCCACTCGTGTGGGGTTGGTTCCCCAAGGAGGCTGCTGGAAGGATCTGTTGATTTACAGTGCAGGGCAGGAAGGGAAGGACTTCAGCTGAGGATTTCTTGGAAGTCACACAGCAAGCGAGTGGCACAGTGGGGTTAGCCTAGGTCAGCCTGGCTCTGAGCGCGGCTTCCTGTGTGCTGGCTGCTGCTGAGTCTCGTTAGGTGCTAAGGATAACTTGTGACCAGGGAGAAGACTCGCTGACCCAGCTGACCCAGCTGACCCAGCTGTGAGCAGAGTTGGTCATGGGCTGGGCAGAGAGGGCTGGCTCCTTCTCCTCAACACCACCCTCATCTATTCCGGCTGTGGCGCCTTATTTGAAATGTCACTTCTCCCTTTCCAGACCTCTTCTGCGATGTCTACTGTGTGGACTTCTTCAGGCTGACCCGGCATCCACACTTACTTACAGCATTCATCAAATACGTCATGAACTGTGTCTCCCTCCTCACTGCACCGGGTCACAACCTGGCCACATCCTTGGCGTACTCCAAGATAGCCAGAAGAGGGTCACTGAGCTACCACCCAAAAACCCTATCCTGACAGCTTTAGTTACCCACAGCCCTCTTCTGAGAAAACCCACTGCATATTCCCACATCTGCCTGAGGCCCTTAGGGCAACAGAATACAGTTTGGCTCAGATTCAGGAGCGATGTGATGTCTAGAAACGGGAGTGGCCGTGTGGGAACGGTATGCTCCATCCTTTATTTCACATCCTCTATTTAAACATGTTTGTAAACATAGTCTCAAAAGATGCGAATGACAGAAACAGTGTATTATTTACCTAGAGTGTTCTTTGATTTTAAATTTTCTTAATAAAAAATGGATTTCCTCTTTTAATTGAGAAAACAACATATAGCCAAAACCAAGAAACCAGATAAACAAAAGCCATGACTTCAAGGCCCCACGCAGAGTATGAAACACGCTAATCACATCCTCCCTTTCAGCCGTGGCCAGCCCCATTTCTGTACGCCTCTGTGTGATAGCATTAACTCATAGTTTCAGCCTCTGCCACATAGGGGAACCGATCCTATGTGCCAAAACCAAGCTTGAGTTGTTATATATAATATAGCTTCCATTCCCAGCAAACGCAACTGAGCCTTTAGCTGTCTTTCTGTATGAGAAAAACTTGTCTCCATGTTTCCCTTCCTGTGGTGAGGGTCCTAGAGATGGAATGACCGTCTCCCCACTCCCTTATCTCTCCTTCAAATCCTTACATTTTGCAGGGGTGGGGCGGGGGTGGGAATGGGGGGTGGGATAGGGTGTGTGTGTTGCAACCTTTCTCTTCAGCCCGTTGTTATCTCCTGTAAGGTAAGTAGGTCTCCGGTGTTTTTTTGTTTTGTTTTGTTTTGTTTTGTTTTGTTTTGTTTTTTTGGTTTTTTCGAGACAGGGTTTCTCTGTGGCTTTGGAGGCTGTCCGGGAACTCACTTTGTAGACCAGGCTGGCCTCAAACTCACAGAGATCCACCTGCCTCTGCCTCCCGAGTGCTAGGATTAAAGGCGTGGCCCGGCTGGTCTCCGGTGTTTTAAGAACCTTGTAACAGTTTAACAAGGAACTTCCAGCAGAGCTGCACTGGACACTGTTGCAGACTGAGCTACAGGTCCTAGGCCCCTGTGCCTCCCCGCACTCTTCCCTTCTCAGTCGCTCTGCCCCACCATTGGCTTCAGGTACCGGAACACCTGATCCCTCTCCCATGCTAAAATGGCTTTCTTCTGGAAGGACAGCTGGGCAAGTATTGGCTGTGTGTGGCAGGGATGGCCCCTTCCTTGCAGTCTGCAGATATAGCATCCAGGAATAAAAAACCCTCTACCTTTCCCCACCAAGATGAGACTCTCCTCTTCTTGGGATTTAGAGACCTAACTGTTGGCCTTAGTGTGTGCACGCACAGCCATCCCACCACTCTGAAGAACCAAGCTGTGGTATTGTGTAACGTGGTCAAAGTCAAAGTTTCACCTATTGATCTTCTGTGGTTTCTCTTCTGGAAGCCCCACCAGCCGGTGCCACTCCCGGATGAGGCATCTGGGCGGCTCCCGTGGTAATTCACCATTTCCATCTTTCTATTATTGCCCTGGGTTTTGAGACATCTGTTCCTCTGACTTCCCACCGTTTTCAGTTCTTCCACTGACTTAATATTTTAACCTCAAAAGCCATGCTGTTCCATTGTGGAAAGCTTCCAGCACTTTCTGTAAAGTCCTTGTGTGTTCTGTCTGTTCTTCCTGCAAGCAAGCCACTGCTCCAAGGGCGGCTTTCTTAGGGAGAAGCAGTCTTGGGTAGCCTGGTGGCTCCCACAATCCGTGTACTTTTTGGAGGGCTGCATGAGCGGTAGAGCCACTGCCAAAGGCTAGGCCCAGGAGGTGGCTGGGGAGGCAATTCTAACCCAGGACGTGTCCTGCAGGGTCTGTGATTCTCGGTGGTTTGGTACCTTGGTCCGTTCCTTCCCAGACTTCGCCTCCAAGCACTGGTTGGCTCTCCGAGCACCTGAGGTCTCCCACGGTTTTGACATCTTCCACCTGATAGCCAGAGACCCGAGGTCTGGAGTATGATGGGGGTTCAGCGTAGCCTCACACTGACAGTGCCCTCGTGTCTGTTGCAGACTAAGGAGTGGTTCATCCACTTTCCTGGACACACAGCCCCGGGGCGGGGCAAAGCTGAAATAACCCTGGTTGGGCTGTGACCTGCACTGCCCACAGAGGTGGTTCTGGTGGAAGAACTTGATGCACAGGAGGTTCTCAGACAAGGACGTGGCACCCTGTCCTCTTGGAGGCCAGTCAAGTTTTGATCTTCACCATGGCTGCATGCAAATGCAGTCTGAGCCCAGAGGTAGCGAAATTCTTAGCAGCAGACCCAGAATTCAGACCTTGGACCGCTGGGTCCTGAGCCTTGTCACTTGAGGGTCCTGAGATAGGGTTGGTTGTGGGACGGAGCTCATGGCTGACTCGGCAGGGAAGGGCAGCTCTCAGCAGAGCAGAGTACACAGGATGGAGGCGTGTGGAGGGTATTCCAGGTAGTGGTCCAGGGTCATCAGTCTGTCTGTCACAGGATGTCCCCAACACTGCTGGGCTATTCAGGAGGCACTGTTTCAGTCAAGAAGGTTGAAGCTCGTAAGCCACCGAGGGTGGGGAAGTAGGTGGCTGTCCATCGGTGCAGCCACGTTCTTGGGTCTCACTCCAGGCACTCCCACGACAACAGACCCATAGCTGAGCGCCCTGTGTCCTGAGGCTGGACACTCCTTTATGGGCTGCTAATGGCCTGGGTTCTGATTTATGCTATTCAGCCTCCTCTCACTCCACCTCTGTCTTGTGATAACCAAATATTGTCAGTTTCAATGAATTAACTTCTGTAATAAAAAAGGAATCAAGCCAGCTACATAAATTCCACCCTGACTCTGACACCCCAGTCCCTTACTGTTGCCGCCCAGATGGCAGACATGATTTCATACAATTGTACACCTTGGTGAATCTGACCTCTTTGGCAATTGTTGGGATACTGGTGTTCATTTAATCAGTTGACCACCAGATGGCGCCAAATTACCATGCAGCGTGGCCTCCTCGCCTGGAGTCTGTCTTTAATCCTGGGAGCTACCCTTCAAGTGTGCAACTTCTTTTCTCCCCTAGGTGTTGTGTTGCTGCAAGTGTCCATACCTATTTTATAATAGACAACACTGAAGTGTACAAAAAGATAGAAATTGTTTCAAGGTTTTAAAATGCTGTGTTTCCCTCTGATATCTGAATGCCCTTGTTGTATGGTAATTCTCCCTAAACTCCAGCTGGCTCACCAACTTTGTTCCTGCTGACTCCATTGTCATCTGTTTGAGCCTGTTTCTCAGCTGTGTCTTCCTGACAGGTCAATGCCCTGCTTACTACACTTTTTTAACTATTAATTTGCCTGCATGCATGTGTGTTCCGGTGTATGCACTGCTCATGGGAGCCAGAAGAGGGTGTCAGACCTTTGGAACTGGAGTTACTGATGGTTCTGTGGGGTCAGAGCAGGTTTTTATGGGTACCTTTGCCTTGCAGGCAGGTTATGTCACCAGCAGAGGTGGCACCGGAGCTCCCTGAGGCCTGGAGACTATGTACAAGAGGAATGGTCTGATGGCTAGCGTGCTGGTCACCTCTGCCACTCCACAGGTACGAAGGCTGTGGGAGGGTAGCGGGAGAGAGGGCCATGGTGTGGGCCCTGGCCATGAATACAGGCCTTCTTAGGGCCCGCCACTCCAGGCGGGAGGTTTGGGAGCCAGTCAACCCTGTGGAAGGTGGTGTTTTCTGAAGTTGTTCTCTTCAAAGAAAAACAAATACCTCTCCAGTCCAGTCCAGCTATGGCAAGTGTCACATTCCATTTTGGTGGCAAGAAGGGATCAGACTTTTCCCAGGAAAACCCACTGTTGATTATAAATAAGCCAAGTGTTCCAAAATGAGGTCAGACAGAAGCCAGTCCAACTGGCCCCTGAACTTATTTACCTTGCTTCTTAGGAAATGGCTGTAAGGACTGGTGGTCTGAGTGGCCTGGGCAGGGCTCTGTGTGGGGTCTGGGAATTGCTTTCCAAGCTCAATACTGGTACAGACACACAGGAGGAGGGGTGTCTTGTGAGGATGGTGCCTCTGTGTCTGGGGTGTAGTGCTGGCTCCTCAGATGTGCTGGTGAAGCAGGGTTGGGTCTGAGCATTCCACAAGGGGTTTTGAAATTGCCTCAGACTAACCAATAAGAGGTCATAGGATCCAATTTCTTATCAGTTTTTTTTAATTCCTTGGTTTGATCTCTAGTCTTGAAATCACACTTAGGAATGCTTTTAAACTTTTTAAATTTTTATTTTTAAATCATATGTGTATGTTCACATGAGTGCAGTGCTCATGGAGGCCAGAAGAGGGCATCATATCCCCTGAGAACTGGAGTTACAGGCAGTGGTGAGTTTCCTGGTGTGGGTGCTTGGAACTGAACTGAGGCCTTCTGGAAGAGCAGTCTACACTTTCAGCCACTGAGCCATCTCTCCAGTCTGGTGGATACCTTTTAAAATTTCCTTGGAAGCCAGAGCAATTTCATAAAATGCCTTGAGTCCTCCTCATCACCGCAGCCACTGTCCTTGCAAATAAGTTTGGGGCAACTTTTGATTTAACCTGAGGGTTTGGGGTGTTGCAGCAATGCTCTAAGGCCTGACATCCACGCAACAGACAGACTCTGGCAACTAGAGGCTCTGCGTGGGATCTAGGATTTGCTTTCCAAGCTCAATATTGGTACAGACACACAGTTTGTAAATGTAATTTACTCTTTTTAAAAATTATAATTTACTATTATTGTTGTTGTTGTTATGTGTGTGTACTATGGAATGCATATGAGAGGTTAATTCTGTTAAGTCAGTTCTTTTCTTCCACTTGTAACTTACTCTTCTAGAGTGAAATATCTCTAGAGAGAAATCTGGCCCCTGTGTGTATGTATGCATATATACATAGATGTGTATATCACATGCTACCCTGTGCATGGTCAGCCCTCTGTACATGGGACCCACCAACCATGCATCAAAAACTCACTCCTGCACCAAGTATGCGCAGACTGTCTGGTCATTTTTCTCTAAACAGCAGCAGTGACTCTTTGCACAGAATTTATTTTCTAATAGGTTATTAGTCATCCAAGAGGACTCAGAATATGTGGGACAACACATATAGGTTCTATGCTAGGCATTTTATGCATGGGGGTTTGAGCACTTGCAGATTTTGGTGTTGTTCAGGGCCTTCATGTATGTGACTGTCAGTACCACAGTGTTTGTGGAATGGATGCATACATGGAAATTGAAGTGCTTAGGAACCCCAGGTGACGGAATGACACATTCACTTCCACGCACACCCAGC